AGATCCAGAACAGGACCAACGACCCATCCTCGAGCTGCGATGCGATCAGAAATCTTGCCCGCTCCTCCACAAATCTCAATGAAGTGGAAACGAAAGGCTCTCGGCCGGTCAGGCTCAGCTGCAGGCCACTCGCTACCAAAGGAATCCTCCTCTCGGTCCCAGTCCAGCTTCCTGACGATGGCTTCAGACCTCGTGAGCATTCTGGTGTAGCTAGCTTTCTTTCGGCCAGTCTTCCACAAAGTTCGAACCAGCTGAAGGTCCATAGGCCTAGACACCACCGCACCCTTTCGGTCTGAAGCATCGCAGACAAGTCAGTCACGAACAGGGGGCATAGTATGGCCGCTAGCTGGATCTCTTGAGCTGCTCCACGGGACATGGGGCATAGCTTTGGCCGATCTTGAGAGACCTCCTCCATGTTCACAATCGAGTAAACTTCTGAAAAGAGTGACATGAACGGCCTGCGATACATCAAACAGCTTGTCCAGCCTCCGATCAAACAAGCCCAGAGAGCATCTGAGGTCTGCGGCACCTTTGCCAACTCCAAGGAAATGAAAGCCAGCGAAAGCCTCTTCCGAGCAGGAGCAGCAACCGTAGCCAGACCAAGCCTGCGGACTGGAGGAGAGCTATCTATCTCGGCCCCAATGAGTTTTGCCTTTGGAGCGTCCCATATGTCCTTGTCATCAGAACCAATAATGCCCTCCTCCTTGTAGGTGTCCTTGGCGACGATGAGGTCTCTGACCGCTTTTGATTGGTATTGGTCACCCCTCAGGATCAAAGGAAGGCGTACCAGCAGGCAACCTGGAAATGGAGAAGAAGTCATCAATGACAAGCCCTGAAGCGTTCGTCTCACTCCACAAACTCGCCCCTGACCTCATCTCCTCCTTCTCAGCCAGCAAGCCTGCATCTTTGAGAAGAGACCGGTGCGCATCTGTTGCAAACTCTACGCCGAGATGGTCTCCTTGAGGGATGCTGCGAAAGCATAGCTGAAAACTGTCGGGCACCTCCTTCACAACTTTGGAAGAACCCTTTCCAGACTTTAGTAGGTCGCCATGAATGAGGCGGTCATACTTCCTCTTCTTCAGATTCCTCGAGCACCACTCCTCAAAGGCTTTCGTGGACTTTGCCTTCTCAAAGGGCAGGAGAGGGAAACATGCATTGGAAGCAGCTCTTCTCTCATTGACATGAAACTGGTGGTAGAAGTCTTTGCGATCCGTGCAACATAGGGAGAAGCGCTCGGAGCCTGGTTTGATCTCAAGGTCCAACAGACACTGAGCCGAGGGCAGACCAGGCGATACTGCAGTGCATCTTCCTTCAACATAGTTTCTGGCCCGTCGGTCTCCAATCATGCGGTCAACCTCTGATGACTTGTAGCAGTTGAAGAACCTCATAGCCAGATCACGACCGTCACCTGGAAGAGGCTCATCTCTCAAATACATGAGGCCTCGTGCATCCCAAACAGGAACAAGGCCGGCGACAGCTTCAGGATCCTCACGGTCAACACAAGGGGCTCCACTGGTCCTCAAATCTTGGGTCCAGAGAAGAGAGGCTGGCTCAACATAGGCCATCCACAAAGTATCAGAGAGGTAAGGCTCTGGGTCTCACTGGGCACTTCCTGACAGCTTCAAACGCTCCGGATCCAAAGAACGATAAGGAACCAGTTCCTCTGCGCGCGACAGATCACGGGGCACCACTTCAGCAAGACCTCGTGGGGCACCAGGAAAAGAGCGAAAGTAAGGATCTCCTCCAGCACCTTCCCACGTCAGAAGTTCAGAAAGGTCGGAAAGGAGCGAGACCAAAACAGGTAGTCTTCAGCCACATGTAGGAACTTGAAACTCTTCCTGACAGCTACCGAAGGCCTTGAGCAGCCTCTTCACATTTCGAAACACTCGAACTTGGGCTTCAGTGCCAGTAGTTGGGCGCCATGATGATGACATGAAAGGCCTGATCAACTCTGATCTTCCTCCTCTGTCTTGCACCACATCTCAAGGGCCCAAAAACACCAAGCTTCGGAATAGGCAGAGGGAACAAGGCCTTTTCGCTTGCCGGAGCAAGCTGAACTTGGCAATGGAGAATCGACTTGAGGAACTCAGCAAATGGAGTTCCAGAGGCAACCAGGCTCGGCGCGAACATAGAGGCCCACCTTGAAAAAGAAAATACCTGTAGCTTTGACCATGGAGCATGGCCCTCTGTCGGACCTTCCTCATTGGCTTCAGGACAGGTAGCAGAGCTCCGCGAACTTGCAGCCTTGCAAGGTAGATCAAATGCTACCTCGGAACATAGGCCGGAACCTAGCTCATCAGAGCAGCTCGTCATGCAGTCAGCCATAGGCCCGTGAAGGGCCTTGCTCATGAAGTGCTCTCCTCCTGCTTTCCTTCGAGGTTTCTTCTTCCATGCATCTTTGTCGTCCTGCTTCTTTGGGCCTCCCATGGGATTTTCTTGCTTCTTCACTCCGAGGGACTCCTGCCTCCTGCTGAAGCTGCTCCGTGATCGAAGGGATTGCCTCTGAAATAGCCGCTAGCTGCTCTGCCAGAGATGCCGTAGTGATCCTCTTCGAGGGATTGGCAGCCTTCGCCTTGGCCCTTCCCTTCTTACCTCCAGCCGGGGAGGCCGCAACAAGCTCCTCCTCCTCTGCAGAGTAAAACTTCACTCGATCTCCTCCTTCTTCGACCCAAGAGTAGGCGCTCATGATCAAAGCATTGGCCTCGGGGAAAACGTCCGGATTGCCCGGCCAGAAAGCAACAATGTCCTCGCCCTCGGCCACAGGATCGAAACCCCTGAGGTGCTCCAGGATTGAACTGTTGAAATCCATCAGCAAGCAGTCTATCTCTGAATCCAAGGGCGTCTCGACACCATTCTCCTCCTCCAAAATTGCTGGCAGAAACTCTCTTCGAAGGACCAATGAGGTCCGCCATCCCCGAAGAGTTGCCACCATCCAGGACCTCGTCGGGAAAAAAGTCCATAGGCTCTGCACACATCAACCCATCCTTTCTCTTCATCAAAGGGAAGACAAAGGCCTCCTTTGGACCAGAGCTGTAGCCCCATTCGGAAAAGTCCAACCTCACCACATGGAGCAAATGGATGCCCTGATCCAACGTCTTGACATCTTCATGGTGGTCATTGTCCCCGTGACTCAGGGAAGAAGAATCCCGCCGCCAGACAATAGACTCTGCCTTCCGCCTGCGATGGGAAGGAATGAGAAATAGATCCCTCGATCCTCGAACTGGGGCAGCAACTTGAAGTACTCCGCAGCGGTGTCCACTCGGACAGGAGGAACAATGCCAGGACCACGCAAAATGATGTAGCAAGCAGCTTTCTGAGGGATCTTCGGAGTAGGTCTTGGCTTTTGAACCTTTCCCTCAATGCAGGCCTTGGCCCAACAGCCAGCCTCCCAGGCTCTCTGTGCTCTTGCTCGAACCTCCTCCTGAGTGCCCCCAAGCCGACCACAAATGTCCAAGCAGTGAGCAGGTAGAGGAGGAATGGAACAAGCCACCTGCTCGTAGGCAGTCCCAAATCTGGTAGATGCCCTTGGCGAGGATGAAGGAGGAGCAGCAGAGCTCCCAAGACCCAGTTCAGAAGGGTCTTCCAAATCCCAATCACGAAGATCAACCTCGACCAGAGGTGCAGAGGCAGCCCGATCAGCAGCAGCCTCAAGAGAGTCAGCCAAAAGGCGCAAGGTGCCAGCGGCAGCTTTGACAGCGTTAACCAGCAAGGCGACGGCGTCGCTCATGAAGGTACGCCGAAAGGCGTAGCGTTGAGGCCGAGGTAGAAGAGCGAGAAGTGACCTCCTCAGAAGGGCAAGCAAACGAAGCAGCCAGAGGATGGAGGTAGATCCAAAGTCCAGCAAGGGTGGTGAGGAGGCTTCCGACGCAAAAGCCGGAAACAAAGATGCAGGCCTGAAAGGTCCAGCTAGATCCGCAGTGCGCGGGACAGGATATATAACCCCCACCAACCGGATATGGACCCCCACTGGATGAACTTAAGCGCTTCAGCGAGCGCCTGCTGCATGTGAGCTTGAGGCGAGGCGAAAACATTCAAGATTGTCCATTCAAAAAGTAGTCTCCCGATGAATTGCATCTGCATGGTTCTACGGACTGATATGCGGACTACATGTGTCGAATTTGCGCAGGAAATCGGAGTGTCACGGAGCATCGCAGCAAACCAGTTGAGATGCCATCCGTTCATGGCCCCCTTTTCATCCTTTAAATCAGCCCAAAGAGGTGGAAGCTGAAATGCACAAATGGCAAAAACGATGAGTGCCACGTGGTTGTTGCAAAAACAATGCTGCACCCCATGTATGCAAAATGACTGTTGGGAAAACGTATGATTTGCAAAAGCCCAAACACATGGCATATTGCCCACTTTCTTCTGATGCCAACGACCACAGAACCAACTGATTGACCTGGTGTTGTTCGTTACGCGTCAACTTTTTTCACTTGCCCGTCCAAATGGTGGTCTATCCATGGCGAGGAATGATATAAAACTTTGGCCGGGAGAGAAAAAACATCTGCTTTGCAGACATGCAACCAAATGCGGCTGGGTCGTGAGAAATTGAGAAAGCCAACAAATTTGACGGGGAATCCTGTCCTTCTGCCACCTTCTGACACCCAACCTGTATTGCAAACCTCTTGTTTCACAAATCAGGCTTGCAAGGCATCTTGCAGTTGAAATTCTGGCTGCGTGAATCAAACCCTGTGGGCGGCGTCTATGAACCTTGTTGCCAAGCGCCACCACCGGAATTGACTCCGCAAAATGGGCGTGGGTCAAACACATTGCTTCAAGATATTTTTGTAAAAAGGGAAATGCTAAATTCTAAAACCTGCAGTGCCCTGGTCCTTGTCTTGACCCGTACCCAATCAGCAGGCGACTACAAGCAGTCGCAAAATTATCATGCAAAGGCAAATGCCAAGCTTCTGGCATTGGAAAGTCAGCAAGAAGGCTGAGCAAAGTGCAGGCTACGCCAATTGGAATATAAAGGATGCGCAACTTGCTCTATAAGTTTTGCACGAACATACGTTGACTGACTTTCCGTCAAATCCCACAAAAAGTAAACTCCCACTAACTGCAACCTACCTCCTAAACATACAACTCGCCAAAGCCCCCATAGCTGCAGCTTCAAAGTTGGGACAAGTCCATCCCATCCCAAAGGTCATGTCGGTCCAAAGGGTCCAGCTCGTTGAATTGCCGCACGTATTCGGACGCATAGGCGAACAAATCCTCAGTCAAACTACTCGTAATCGTCTAAGATCTATCATGCCATCGTGCAGTAAAACACTAGTTGACCTTCAGCTGGTTGGCACACGATAAGAATTGCGCTCTGCAAGTCAAGCATCCACGTCAGGGCTTGTATTCTTCACAGCCAGCCTAGGCAGGGGCAGGTGTACATGTTACATGTCGCAGCTCTCAGGAAGGAAAAGGGACTCAACCAAGGACACGACGGACACGACTGCCGCTGAAACAACATCCGACATCACACTCTGCCGAGCAACTCTTGAAAGCGGCTGGCGTTGAGCAGCAGCAGCCTGAAGAGCGAACGAACCATGACACAAAAGACCACTAGAAGGTGCTTTTTGTAAAGACCGGGCGGGGGGGGGCCGCTAGAAGAGGAGAAGAGAGGTTAGTTGAGGTAGCTTAAATAAGTTTCTAGCAACTGGACGCAGGATAGTTCACGTTTCTTCAAGGAAGCACTCGCCCTAATGATGTGGTTCCTAGATTTTAGGCAAATTTAATCTCAATGGTGCCAACAGCCTTGCTCGAAGACTTGCCACACGAAGTGTTCCATGATGAAGCCAGTCTGTCCAAAGCACCTTGGAAATGAAGTCCAGGTGCGCAAAGTTGGAAACAACCAACTATTTGCGCGTGCATTTGGAACCTTCGTGTTCAAATTGCATCCAAGGCCGTCCGGTTGAACCTGAAAAGACACAAGCAACCCGCCGGCCAGTGCAGTCAAACGGCTGGCTCAGCCGCATGCTGCCCATGATGCACTGGGATGGGTTCATACCTCCCACTGCGAAAGTACATGAGGCCACCCTCGTTGGCAAACACCATGCGCGGCTCCACCGGAACTTCTCCTTTCGGGACACACCACGACTAGGTAAAACTCCAACTGTGGCTGCAACCACTTACTTGCGTTACAACAGGCAACTCCTGCTAGTGCTGCGTTTCAGCTGGCAACGTTGCTACTACTTCTGTCCCGATTTTTGGCTCCAATGTTTTTAAAAGGGAACCCACGAACCCGAACGCACACACGGACCCGAAAACAAACGGCCAAACACTGCGTGACACTCTTGTAGAAAACGCTCTTGTAGAACACCTTTGTGGGACACTCTCGGGCGACTCTTGTGGGACACCTCTTGTGGGACACTCTTGCAGGACACCGCCCAGAAACCGCTTCCCGCACTACATTTGCACTATCAGGTTGCCACCCCCCAGAAGCTGCTTCCCATATTAGATTTGTACTGTGAAGTGGCCAGTTCTGAGGCCAGCTCCCACAAGCTGCTTCCCCTACTACATGTTCTGAGGTCACGCACAATCTTGTGTGAAACTCTTGTGGGCAATGGACAAGGCAACAATTGACCAGCACGTCAGAAGCAAGACTGGCGTCAGAATCAGATCGCACCTTTTTGTAAAGGGTTGGGCAAGTGAGTCACACCTCAGCTAAGTGCAGCCTTGGGGCCCCACAGACTCTGAGGTGTCAAATTTCCTCCTTCTGAGTCACTGCCCGTCTGATCCAACTTGCGGAGCGCATGACTCTGACAACGATGAGGAAGAAGATGTGGAGGACTCTTCATAGGACTCCGAGGTCTTTGAGCGTTTAAAACTTAAAACATTTGGCGCGAGATTTACGATCTGGTGTCGCGGCATCTGTCAGTTCCTAATCTGGTGGCGCCAAGCGAATATGGCCATGAACATGCTGCACGCTAAAGGCAGTGGGGCAGGTGGGAACCTGAACGTGCCACTTTGCGAATGCGACCTTTTGGGGCCATGTTCACGACGTACAAAGGGCATGATGGCACTGCTGGTACCAGCTCGTTCGCGGCTTCACAATCCGCCAACACAGTGATGGCTTGGTCCGACGAAAGAGTCGAAGCGGTGTGCTGTTCGGCATCTGGAACTTTGGCCCTTGCTGCCAGCGATGTCCGAAGTGTAGCTTCTTGGGCTAGGCCATGAAGCTGAGATAACGGTGCTTCGCATACGTATCGCTTGAAGCAATCCGATCCCAGCTAAATGGACCGCCCTTGCGCCGCGCTCTGTGTGTCCTGTAAATTTCCGTAAACCGGCGCCGGCGCACAGCTTTAACTTGAGCTCCGAGGCTGAGCATTGCACCACGCGAGCTGGTCCTCCACTAGGTGGAATGGACACAGGGCGTTGCGACAGGCCTCGCAGGTGCACATGTGCGTGGCGAATGGTGCCAAGCGAACGGCCAATCTGCTGGAAGGCAGCTTCCAATGCGTAAGCTTGTTCTCATAACCCATAGTGACATGTTCGACTCTTGAAGCTTCAACTTCTCGTATAAGCCACCATGAGGCCAGAAGGGTCGCCCTAGTGGAGTGAGCTGGTCCTCCAGTTCCTATACTTTGCACAGATGATGTCAAGGTCGCTAACTCTGACACTTCTTCATCTCTAGACCAACGACTCGTGTGGGGCACTGTATGTCCCATCCGGCCTGGTCCAGGTTTGAGAGGGTGATTGCAACTGTGGACATAATAATCTTTGTTGGCTTGACTTGGTGACTTCCGCCCACCCAGACGTTGAACTTCTTTTCAAGGGGATTCGATGCTTGAATCTCGGCAAGCCTGGCTGACAGCTCGTTGAGTTCCTCTGCCGGAGTCTATCTGAAAGGTCCTCTTGTGGGACACTTGTCGGACACCCTGGTGGTACACTCTTGCGGGACACTCTTGTGGGACCTGTAGGACACTCTCGTGCGACTCTTGCGGGACACTCTTACTACGTTTGCACATAGAAAGTCCGACTGCTTGCAACTGCACTGAACGCACACATGCACATGCAACATGACATGTGTCACAAAGGTCATACACAAAGCAAGCGGCTAAAAACAAGCAATTTGTCATCTGCTGTAGCTTTAACCTCCTCTGCTCTAGTGGTGGGCACACCACAAACCCGCACCAGTCCTTGAATGAACACCAGGTCGCCATACGAGACAATTGCCAAAGTGATGGCTGTGTGGCATAGCTGTTTTACCAACTGTGTGTTGATCGGCTCAAAAAGCCTCAAGCAACGCATCAAATATTCTGAAGACATGCCAACACATGGATGACAAGGACTTTTCATTTGACATAGATCCATATCCGTTTCTAGTTGTTTTTCGACTTGTCATACACTGGATGGCTGCAGGAACACAAGTCTCCGTCGTTTTTGTTGCGACTTGGCCCACATCTACCGTTTGTCTTGCAGCATTCATAGTGAGCTTGTCATCATCTACAGCAGCCAAGTCGCGGATGATGGCGAATGCTAGGGCCATACATCTCACAATGCAACTCCATGCGCAAATTCTCAGAGACTAAATCCAAGAATTCCACCTGACAAACACCAAAAAAAAGCGTCACCTTCTTTTGCACGATGCAGCTAACAAAGTAGTAGAGATTTGACAAAATTTGGGATTGTCGCTTCTAGTCGTCCTCGGCCATATACAACACCAAGTGAACGAGAAAAGGGTTGGCGGCTGACCAGTTCTGAGCCTCCATAATATGTGGCCACCTCGAGGGTTCTACACGGTGCTATTTGAGGCTCACAGCCACTGGCTGTGAAGCTGCGCAGGGCTGAGGCCAGTTTGTGATTCAGCACCTTTAGATCTCACCTAATCTGGGAGCTGCTTTGCTTTGGCTTAGGCCTCAGCAATCTGCCACACCCTGCTGTTGTGCTCTGCCCTGGCGACATTTCGGGTGGCTCAGCTACCGTATTCTGAGCTGAGCTGCGTTGGTCTGTATCCCGAGGGAAGCTGTTTCGCTCTGGGCTACTGCTACTCGCTTCTGGTGGTCTGTCCCGCATTCTTAATTACTTCTGAGCACTTCAGGCTGTGGCATGTCAAATCACAACGATCAAAACTACTCAAAACTTGCCAGCCCAAACAATACCTGTGGCACTTTCCAATCACACAACAGTATCCCGTCTGCAAACTGGCTGTCCAAATTGCTGGTTGCCCGCCTCCGATTCAGGCACTGCGTGCTGCTGAACAGTCAGAGTGGTTTTCCTTTGGGGCAGTGTGCTGGATCACTTACTCCACACATATTGAAGTTCAAACCTAGTTGGCGTCTGACATCCAAGGAACAAGTTGGAGTAAATGCGAGCGGTAAGTTGCCTGGAAATCCCGTTGTCCTGGAAATCAGTTGATTTTTTAAAAAACACAACAAACACCTTAAATTAAAGATGACGCTATCTTGACTTGCCGCACAGGCACGATAAGAAACCACCGGAGCACTCTCTGATGAGCCGCTTGCACACCTGTGATGAGGTGCAACCTGCGAGAATCGCGAAATGAATCTCAATCGAACAGGCATGTCTGCACGAAAGGCTTGAGCATCAAGCCTGGTCATGGCTGATGTGATGAACGAAATGAAGACCACTGCCAGCAGGTATGCCAAAAGTAGATAGGTAAATGCAAAAATCCGTTCCTGCAAACTGCCAAGGGAATGAAGATGGTTCCACCATGCTTCGCCTTGTTGCAGAATAATTGAAGCTCGGGAAAATGCAAGGTCCTCCAGTGTGTAGGGAAACAACTCCATCGTCCCATGAAACTGAGCCAACGCCCAATGAAAAGCTACGCTGTACCTCGGCTGCTTGAGTCCACCAAGCATCATCGCCCCTTCACGGGAGCTTGCCAGGTTTCTATAACTTGCCCAATTACACAAAATGATAAGAACATAATAAACAACAAAAAAGTGAAGGGGAGGCTCCCTTTAAATGAGCCTTACTACCTTACCGTCCTTTTTATATCCTTCTCTTGTTTTCACAGCAGGAAACTACGTGAGGGTGTCAGCTCCTGCCCCACATCCCACCATGCTGACATGTTGCTGCTCCACATCACTGGCGCCAGGCCGGTGTACTGTGACCCAGCCCCCATCTTGGCGCCCAAGCGCGACCCAAAAGCATGCCATGAAATGCAAGAAGACCATCAGCCACAAGATCTTGCCTCCAAATTCACACCGGTTCCAAGGCAGGATGGTTCCAATTGAAAACTCGTCCTGTAACGATCATATAAATATATATTTAGTGTAAACATAGAAATATATATATATATACACATACATACACTGGGCTCACTGCAAGAGAGCAGTGCCTGATATGCCAATACACAATACAGCACGTTCAGATCCTTGGTTGACTGGCATGCGTGGAGTTCGGCAGCCACCTGCTCACATAAAAACTGCTCCGAAATGCTGCCTGCATTCACAACACGGTATCTGCTTTCATTTGCCAATAACCTTTTGAATTGCCGTTTGGACGGCCACTGGTCATAGACTGATAGGCCAAGCAGTCGTGATTCATGCGACCTCACAAACCTGAACAAAAGAACCTCCCAAAAATGCATAATCTGTTCTGTTCTCCTGTGAGGCACTGAGCCCAATTGGTTCCCAGATGGCAGAACGATTCCCAGGTACACTAGGTTGTGATGCGCTGGCTGAGGATGTTGCTCTGCAACTCTGCACGTTGTGTCGCGTGCACTGTCAATCAGGAGGCATTTGATTGCCCTGAATTGTATGAATGAGTCATTAATTATATATATAAGTGTCTCCTACTTGCAGCATCAAACTGCTCAGTCTGCAAACTTCCGCAACTTGAGATGTCGTTGCACATGTCTCTTGGCAGCTGCACGCCGCACAAGGAACACTGTCAACACGGATTTGTCACGAATTAAGCCTATGTACTCTTCCTCGCTGTATTTCATCGGAACCATCAACGGCAGCTTTCACCTGCCACTACTTTCTCAAGTTTTTCGTACCTGGGCCTTATACGCCCGCGTGCAGCTGAGTTCAGTGATGCACCGGGCTGAGCGCTGTGCCAAGGCTGGGGAGCTGCTGTGTTGGGGCTGAGTCTTGAAATCTTGTGACGTTGGTCTTTGACACTATCATTTTGAGCTCGCAAAAACCCTCGCGCACAGCAATGGGAAAGGTTGATGTGGTCTCAGGTCGTGGTTCCCTCACAAACATATCTGCACAGTCCCGCGCCCAAAAAAAATTGTGAAAAGACTTCAATTGAACCTAATGCCGGCTTGGGTCAAAAGGTCCACGCAATTGGAAACAAACTGCTGGGATTCACAACGTTTCACAAGGGCATACTCTTACCAAGCATATGCTGCTGAGCAACGGATATTGTTCGAAATGAGCTGCAGAATGGCCTCGAAACAACACAAACACAGTTTCTACGTGAGAGGTGACAGCCTCACGATGCCTGACTGCACACCATGGAAATGAAACACATGAGACCCGACGCCTCAATCCGCCACAAGCGTGCGAGTCTCAGGATGCGCACAAGCTGGAATGTCCTCAGTCATGCGACCAACGCTACATGCTTGAGACTGACTGTCCGTGGGGCTGCCAAGCTTCTGGGACGATACGAAGAGTTCAACCCAGCTCAGTATGGCAAGCACTACATCTGGCAGGAAGAAACCTGGCCAGTCGGGCGCTACGTGCTACATCCACCCCTTTTGAAGCCGCAGAGCCTGTGAGGTACTTGCGGAACGTGCGGGACAATCGTGTCTCCCAAGTTCCGTCAAGACCTGGGCCAACATTGCCCCGGCCCCGCTTTGCAACGATATCTCTTTCGCTGGAGGTCCACGGCTGTGACGCAGACACAAGAAACAAGGAATCCACTCAATGACGTGTTTCCTGTCCACCATCATCAAGGAACAACCAGAAAGCAGCACAATTACACTTCGTCGACCAAAAAGTGCGGTCCTTTTGATGCTTCAAGGGGCGGTCTGTGGTATATTTCGGCTTGCGCGTGTCATCATGAACTGCACGTGATCATGAAAGGGATGTGAGCGCTGTTTGTGTTCTTTCACACGCTCTCCCCTTCAGGACCGTTAGCTTTCAGCTATGGGCCCAACCTTAGGCACTCATGGCCCATAAAGGGAAGAGCTCCTGTATTGTCTCAAAGGTTTGCCACCGTTCTCGCTGTCTTCCCCTCCGGGCGTAACGGTGCTAGTTTGCAAGGGGTCCAAGTCTACGATGTCTAACATGATCATATACACTTGTATAAACCACGCTGCGAAACACTGTCGCCAAACCGTGATGTCTGTCGATCCACAGATCTCCTGCTGCTGTGAGGGCCCGGTTCTTCGCCCAAAGTCAAGGGAGCTTGCCCCGACTCCACCAAGTTGATTTGTTCTGCCATAGGGTCATTAAGGTTTGGTGGTGGACGTCGCCCGCAGCCAAACAGCTCGGTCTCGGAGATCAAATCCACTTCCGTCCCGTCTAGTTGCGACAAGACTTGGGTAGCTTCTCCTTTCTACCTGCTCCTGACGATGTTGCACCTGGGTTCAACACTGGAACCCCAGATGCGGACGTCATTCTTGTAGTCTTCTACACCAGCTGTCTTGAGAATCGGCGTAGATCGCCTCCTTCAATGTTGCGAAGCGCGCCTGGCCCCCAGTGACGCCAACGCAGGTAGCTGCATCACCAATTGTCTTCACTGAGCCTAGCTCCTCCATTGGGGCCTCCATAGACGCTCGCGCGCTTTCTGTATCTCAAGACAATCACTTCAAACCCAGGATGTTGCTCACCCGCCTTCCTGGGTCTTGGTGTTTCTGCACAGCACCCACACTATGGCCAACACAGGTTGACGATCAAAACGTCAATCAGGCCTCCTTCCTCGATGAGCTAAAATTACGGGCCCCACCAGTTAATTTTGCGGGGCTCTGCAGCAGTGTGGCTTCACCTTGAGCCAAAATGGCTGCCCACCGGCATTCACTCCACGTTTGTTCCTACATGTTCCCACAAGAAGAAAGGATGGATTTGGAAGCACAACACAACCTAGGCTTTCATGTTCAATTGCAGTTCACGATGGCACGCACAAATCAAGGTTTCATGAAACATCAAGACCAAAAGCCAAAACAGAAGCAGCAAAGCAGCAGCGCTCCCTTTTGCAGTTTGGTTGGCTTTTCCTTCCATGGTCATGGTTGAGACTCAAGTGTCAGACTGGGATGGCACCCAAAACCGCCACCAATCCCAGTTGACGCGAACAAGAGCCATGGAGGAAAGCAGACACCGGGCACCCTGAGCAAAACGGCCCCATGGGCGTCGTAAAAAGGGAAAGATTCAAAAGTTGAAAAATCCCGAGCTGCTCCACCATCCTTTGTCACCAGGGATTTCAGGGCCCATGGCGCCTGTCCCCGATGCCACCTATGATGGCTGGCCAGCCTGGTGGAGTTCGCGAATCATCAGAGTACAGGTCTTCAAGGGGATGAGATGTCTGCAGGCGTTTCGCCGGGTTTGAAGCTTTAGTCACCTGACCTCCCCTTGATGTCTCATCGTCCACTGCATCCTTCATCTCGCCCGAGCCAGGTTCAGTGGCGTCGACGATGTCGTGAGGCTGTCGCAAAAGGCCTCCTGCTGGGCCTGACTCTTGGCAACAAAGAAGGTTTCCAAAACGCGTTCCGCAAGAGGCTGGGTGTCTGGAATGTGCCCTCGTTGACTGTCACCTGGGAAACCCGGGGCGGAGAGAGACCTTGATGGGAGGAAACCACACGAAGGCATTGAGCGGCACAATGGTGTCGGAGCCCAGCACGAATTCGCGCCACTGAACCACAGATTCCTCGCGCGGCGGACGTACCCTTTTGCTTGCGAGGGCGAAGAGGCGGTTCCGCCGGCGCACTCGATGCAGGCGGAATCACTGGGTCGATGTCCATGGGAGCTGGCGCTGCAGCCGCAGATGTAGAAAAGGTCAAAGTCGCGGCAGCCGCCGGACTCTCCTTGCATGTTTCAGAGCCCGCGGCGTCTGCACCCGCAGGAGGAGTCACGTGGAGCTTGGCCATGGCAGCATCCATCTCTTGCATCTTGGCGGCGAGCGCCTCCGGCATGAGCAGTTCACACACTTGACATAGCGCATCATCCTGGGGACCCGCGCGGCCCGGGTCAGGTGGGGCGCCGGAAAGGGCACCAGCGGCACGGCCTGTCCCTTCCAAAATCGTTTCCTCGACTCGTCGAATTTCCTATTCACGTTCCTCCACCTTGGAGGGGTCCAGAGAGAACGAAGTCACAGTTGGAGCGTCGTCCATCAGCTCCCAGTCAAAAATTCACGAACCAGTAGCAGACATGGCTTCAAGAGAATGAAAAGAAGGAAACAGGGAGTGGAAGTTCACTTCGAAAGGGCCCAATCTTGAGCCAAAATGGCAATGCAGGCTAGTGAAATGTACTCATGAAACATAACCTGCTTTACGCTGGTTCCAAGCACGTACTAAATATACCGCAGTCCGCCTTTGCAGCATGGTAGCGGAGCGGGGCATCCCACTGCTGAAGCTCTGGTGTCCCATATAATAACGGATCTTCTTTCGGGCATGGTGGAGGGATGGTTCTGCGCTTCCAAGATGACGCCAAATGTACACGCACGATGGAGGATGGTTTGGATCGGAAACGCTGCGAAACCATGAAACCACCAAATGCAACATCTCTCAGCAACCCTCGGTGTTCGATGATCCTGCAGAACCACGCGTGACATGATATGAAGATGAAAACCTGCGTTTAGATGCATTGAGCCAAACAGTGTGTGAGGTCTATAAGCAGAAAGTCTAGAGATCTAGACGCATTGGGGTCCAGAGAGGTGATGGTGGTGATGAGGTGGGGATCGCGGCGATGGTGGCCATGGTGGTGACTGAGTGTGAGTGTCAGCGCGCGCGTTTGAGTGAGAGTGAGAGTGGGAGTGGGAGTGAGAGTGAGAGAGAGTGAGTGTGAGTGTGAGCGTGAGTGTGAGCGTGAGTGAGCGTGAGTGAGTGTGAGTGTGAGTGTGAGTGAGTGTGAGGGCGAGAGTGAGAGTGAGAGTGAGAGTTAGAGTGAGAGTGAGGGTGAGGGTAAGCGTGAGTGTGAGTGTGTGTGAGTGATGACAAGTGTGTGAGCGAGTGAGAGTGCGAGTGAGAGTGAGAGTGAGAATGTGTGAGTGAGTAAGAGTGAGGGTGAGAGGGTGAGCATCTGAGAGCACAACATGCTGCGTCACGCCGAAATCTGTTCACAAACTACTTCTTCGCCTGCCACGAAATCTGCACTTCGAGGTTCACCAAGCGCTGCGCCTGCAACGAAATCTATATATACTTCGAGGTTCACCACGCGCAGTGCCTGCCACGAAATCTGCTTCGAGTTCACAAAGCGCTGCGCCTGCAACGAAATCTCCCCTTCGAGGTTCACAAAGTGCTGTGCCTGCCACGAAATCTGCACTTCGAGGTTCACCAACTGCTGTGCCTGCCACGAAACCTGCACTTCGAGGTTCACCAAGCGCTGCGCCTGCCACGAAATCTGCACTTTGAGGTTCAGAACGCGCTGTAGCTGCCACGAAATCTGCACTTCGAGGTTCACAAAGCGCTGCGCCTGCCACGAAATCTGCGCATCGAGGGTCGCAGAGCGCTGCGCCTGCCACGAAATCTGCAAACGAGCCACATGTCCAAAAGTCACGCTTTCCTACACCTGTCACGAAATCTGAGCTCCTCGACAATCACCACCATGTCCAAAGTGCTGCACCTGCCGCGAAAACTGCATATCGAAGTAAAACAGCTCCGATCCCTTGCGCCTGTCACGAACGGTCGACTTTGGAGCGCCAAAACTCGAGGTTTCCCTTGCGCCTGCCACGAAAAGTTGCCATCATGTGGAAGAATGCGCACGGCGCCACAACGAGAGCGCAGTTGCCAGCCACAACGAGAGCCACAACCAGATTCTGCAAGCCTGCGCAGTGGAAATGAACTTCGAGGATTTTGAGAGGCATGAATGCACTATAAACAGCAGCGAATTAGCCGGACACGGCCGCGCGGCACAGCGATCTAAGCACAGCTGCTTTTCACTCACCGTAAGAACCCCTAGTGTGTCCACACTGTTTGGGGAAAAACACAGCAAGTGCAACGGAAAAAGCATAGACAAGTGGAGATCGCTCTAGATAGAAACAAAGCTTTGCCAAAGGTACCTGGGTGGAACCACGCCAGGTGCACCGGATAAAAGAACAGCTGGGTGTAACCATGCCAGATCTCTCTATAGAAAGAAGAGCACACACAGGAGAACTACAAAAGTCTAAAGAGCACACATCTGAGAGCACAGTCACCAGGGCACGCAGCAAGTGAGTGAATGAGCGAGTCAGTCTGAGCGTGAGTGAGAATGAGAACGCGTGTGAATGAGAGTGAGGGTGGGCGTTGTGTCATGAGTGTGAGTGAGAGCGAGAGCCAGAGTGAGAGTGAGGGTGGACGTAGTCAGCGTCAGAAGACAGAGGTCTAGATGTCGGGAAAGCATGGGAGAGCAATGGGAGTGAGTGTGGGCGTTATGAGTATGAGTGAGAGCGAGAGAATCAGAGTGAGACTGAGAGTGGGCGCACGTAGTCAGCGTCAGAAGACAGAGGTCTAGATGTCGGGAAGCCGGTTTAGAGAGCACACATATGAGAACAAGCTAGGGTTTCAGAGGTCTACAGCAGTCTAAAGAGCACACATCTGAGAGCACAGATCAAGTGAAGCGAGATTGAGAAGTGCTGCGCCTGCCACGAGATCTGCACCTTGAGGTTCACCAAGTGCTGCGCCTGCCACGAAATCTACACTTCGAGGTTCACCAAGTGCTGTGCCTGCCACGAAATCTGCACTCGAGGTTCACAAAGTACTGCGCCTGCCACGAAATCTGCACTTCGAGGTTCACCAAGCGCTGCGCCTGCCACGACATCTACACTTCGAGGTTCACAAACTGCTGCGCCTGCCACGAAATCTGCACCTCGAGGTTCACAAAGCGCTGCGCCTGCCACGAAATCTGCATTTCGAGGTTCACCAAGTGCTGTGCCTGCCACGAAATCTGCACTTCGAGGTTCACCTTGCAAGCGCTGCGCCTGCCACGAGATCTGCACTTCCACGTTCACCAAGCTGCGCCTGCCACAAAACCTGCGAACCAGCCACATCTCCAGAAGTCACGATTCACTGCACCTGTCACGAAATCAGGTCTCGTCGAAGACCACCACCATGTCCAAAGTACTGTGCCTGCCACGAAATCTGCATGATTGAAGTCAAGCCGCTCCGATCCCTTGCAGCTGTCACGAAAAGTAGACTTTGAACCACGAAAATATGAAGTTTCCCTTGCACTTGCCACGAAAAGTGACCACCATGTGCGAAAATGCACACGTCACCACAACGAGAACGCAGTCGTGAAGCACCCGCCGCGGACACCCAGATTCAGCGAGCCTCGCAGTCGAAATGCACATTGACAATGTCGAGAGGCATGAATGCACTGTAAATAGCAGCGACTAAGCCGGACACGGCCGCGCGCTTCAGCAATCTAGGCATCAGCTGCTTTTCACTCAACGTAAGAACCCCTAAGTGTGTCCACACCGTTTGGGGAAAAAACAGAATCCATGGCTGCTTGCAGGCGCCGATGCCCTGTTTTGCCGGTTCTGAGATGTAGAGGTGGTGGAGGAGGCAGGTTTACGAATCTAAGGAAGATTTGAAGAGTGTAGAAGCGAAACGAACCTCTTCTTAACTTATGAAGCTTAGAAACTGTGTTTTTCTTAATGTCTTCGGTTCAATTACAGTGTTGGGCTCCCTTTCTCTTGCGTAAAGCTTGGGCAGAGCTCTGGGAGCTCCACACAGCGCCGTTGCGGGTGTTTCAGCGTGCTTTCTGGCGAAGTGCTGAAAGATACAACTGACCATTTCACAAATCATGACGTCATCTTGGTCGGCAAGAGTCGACTCATTCCAACAACTCAGCATTCCAAGTTTGGGCATTGGAAGGCTTTCCAAGTGTTTAGCTCATGGCGGGTGTCGCTATGGCATGCAAACGCCAATGTGGATTTGGAATGGCTGCTTGCAACGTCGACAAGGGCCGAAACTGCCTGCTATATATATATAAATGGAAGAATCTTCCCACACCCCTTTACAGCCTCCTGGATGGACTCCCCTGCTCTCAAGTTCACACCCATGGCACACACAACGAGATTGCAAACGAGTCCCCGAGATGAAAGCAAAAGGACAGCAGTTGAAGAGTTGAAGTGAGCATTGTGGCAACACGGGTCAGGGTTCTCGTTTCAGCACCATAGTTGAATGAGGTCATTCCAAAAAAGACAAAGCAGTGCAGAAAGCATAAGTAGGAAGACTGGAAGGCTGCACAAAAACCTACGCGCTTGGCTCAAATTTGGTCCACATCGGGAATGGAAAAGGGGAGGGCCGAGACGGTTGTACTCAACATGCTAACGCTAGCTTTCATGAAAGGGCATTAGCTCCACAGCTGCTATGTTCAAATTGAAAACCATCCATCACAAATGATTCATAATCCATCCTGTGGATTTGGGATGCCCTTCAATTGACCGTTTGCGTCGCAAATGCCACCCTCCACAGTTTCCTGTGTCTGCATCCTTGTGACGCTCGTAGGAAATGCAGCTGGATGTGACTGCATCGATAGTCCAAATGATTGCGAAAAGCCACCCCAACATTCTGGACCTCTCTGTGGCACAAGACGGCAACAATCACACAACAGTCACACATCCGTCATACAAGCAACGTTCTACTCTTAACTGAGCAAGCAGCAAATAGATTTGGATGCCCAAAAGCTGTAAAGGAAGCACAACTCCATCATGTAGCACAACTCCAAAAATTACCTCAAATCAAATTCTACTTTTCCTGAAATCTCCGCACGCCGGCGTCTTTCAACACTAGACTAAAGGAAACTAATGGCAACACAGGTTGGACCCGGAGATATGTCAAGCCCAACTTATCGAACTTGGGTTGCTTGCTCTTTCTCCTCAACGCCCAACCTATCTCATTGTTGCGCTTCAGGCGAGGTTTGCCGAGCAACAATGTCCCACGCAATCTTCTTTGCTGAAAAGGGCTTTATGACGAAAACGACCTGCGGTCTGATAGTGCTATGAACGCCTGTAAATGTCTGCAAAGGTCTGCCAAACACAGATAGCAAATTCATCATGCCCAATGCAGCTCAATCACTTCCGAATCTTCAGAATCATCGTTGACGGATGAGCCCAGGTACTTGGACAATGACGAGCGGGTCACCAATCTGTGGAATCTTGTCACCTGTTGCCAGGAAAACACGAAGAGACTGAGATGAATTGTGGTTTGAACAAGTTTAACGGTTTCCGTCTATTGAATCAATGCTCTTTCCTTGGCTTCAGATTTAAAACCTCACCTTTGCTGAATGCTTGTCTGATCTGTGCCAGCAATCCAGAAGCTCAAACCTCGACTGTTTCGCTCTCAAGTGGACCGCGTCCGCAACACTTTCACATGCTCTCTCTGGAAAAGGAGCGGTTGCCGCCATGTCAGCTTCCGAACTCCAATCGGTTCATAAGTGCCCGCGACCAGTTACAATTATATATATTTATATGTCTTGGTTCGGTGTGTCAATCCTTTCCAGGTGCCCAATCCAACCCTAGTTTAATCATAGGAAATATCGTAAAATTCAATCGGGGGGGTCCGACATGAGCTTTGTTCACGGTTTAATTTGTATTTGGTAGGTCATCCTTAATTGTAAAATTCACACGTCCAGAAACTCCGGATCAAACTTGATTTCTACTGAGGCATAATAGATCATAATAGTAGTAGTCTGGATCCATATTTGTAAAGTCAGCCCCAGAAAGAAAAACAATGCAAATGAAATCAAACGAAAGCAAATGAAATGAACTTCAGAGCTGACTATTATTGCGGCGACCCTTAAAAACCTTCCCCAAAAAGAGGAAGAGGTTGACTCCCGCCCTTATTTTCTAGCACTAGTCGAATCACGCAAAAGCCACCGAACCCTTCCGACGGTGGAGTCGAACCGATCAGTGCTGGATGAGCTGGGAAGCTCATAGCCAAAGTCATTTGTAAGAGGTTCACAACCTGGGCCCTGGAGTTCCAAGTCAGTTTCTGTGCGGAAGATCCCGGAGAAGAAGGAACGCTTTGCCTCGGAAGGTGTGCTGTGGTCTGGATTTGGTCGTGCTGTCACTCTTTCATTGTTTTTATTTTTTGGCTGGCTTGCTGGAAAATCACATGTATATATATATATATATTCAACATGACTGTATTGGTCTTGGGTCGTTCCAATTTTTCGCTGCCAAGGGTCAGATTCCTTGGAACAGTGCCTTGGCATGAGTGTTTTGGAATGATGAGGGGCATCCTGACAGAATCAGAAGCTTCGTTCACCCTGCCACCACACCAATGCTCAAGACCTCCTCTTCTTTCCAAGCTGACTCGGCTTTATCCTGCGCCAACTTGTGCGCAGCGAGTCCAACAGTGGCGACCTTTCACAACACCTCTGTCTGGGAATTTGACACAGTAGTTAGCGCGCTCCCATTTCGCACGGAATCCACAAAAACTGTTTCCCCTTCGAGGGTGTGGTCCTTCGTTTGTGGGTTTGAAAGCCACGTTTCTCCCACATTCTCAGCCTTAGGCACAGGTCGGTGTCAACGTGGTCACTGCAATGTCACACGATATCAACATGCACAGCCTGCAACTTTCCAAAGAAAAAGTGAGCCGCACTTTCATTATGCAGCGAAGTTGCCCTGAGCACCTTGGAAGATCTTCGGCCCAAGGATTTTGCTTCAGAGTTTTCTGAAACTCGGTCTAACGGCGTGTCCTGATCACAAAGGCAAACCTTTATATAGCCTCACTGCCTTTTGACAACGACAGTCATTGGACTCATAAATAAAGCAGCCCTGCGCGCAAAAATGCCAAATTTGCGGGCACCATGAAAATGTCATAAAATGTCTCATCTGCAAAGAGAAAATGACACCCTGGACGCCTTTTCACCCCACCCTTTCCTATCACTTGTCGAGGGTGTGATGACCCTGTAGCTCAACACCATCGAACCTTCCCAATCAAAAAGCTGCCATACCTGCCCTACTGCACTCCTTCGGACAGATCTGTCCAGCACACTGACATCAAATCGTTCAAACACCTTTCCTAAAACACTGCTCTCATGTCAGAACTGAAAATCCTAACAGCTTTGTAGCTTTTGTAGCTTAGTTGTCACAAAGCTGCGGGATAAAAACAAGGTCCATGGAGGTCGGATTGCACCGACATAGAACCATAAACATCTGGCACCAGCACCCATGCTCCAAAGCACACATGGCCACACATGTGGCAGCGGCACCCAGCAGCTCCAGTCTCCAAAGCGCATACAGGCACCTCTTCCTATACTTTTCAGAACCTCAATAGCTCTCGCTATCTGGCTGTCCGACCTGTCCCAGCCACCCTCGCCAATTCCCCGCAGGCAATCCTTCAAGGGGAGCGGCTGCCACTTTCCAGCCAAAGGCTCCTGTTGAGAGGAAGCTAGTTACTAGTAGCTGGAAGCTACTAGGTTGGAGGCCATCGCTATTAGGTTGGAGGCCATTACTACTACTGTAGTAACTAGTAACAAGAAGCTGCTAAGAAGCTACAAACTGATGTTTGCAGCCTTGCCTCTCGAGCAGGAATGCCAGGCGCCTTATGCATGACAGTAGCGAAGGGTCGAAGGGTCCAAACCCTTGCTACCAACTGACTCTGTGGTGGGCAGTTTCACTTCAAGTCAAGCTACCGCCACATCAGACTTCCGGCGCACCCTGAGCATTCCGAAAGGGTGAGAGACAAAGGTTGGCTCATAGATCAGTAAACTAATTGGTTTGTCCACCCAGCGCTCGCGCCAGGAACCCTGCCTTGGAATGATCCCCAGGTCGCTGAGAATTGAGCTGGAGCCTTGCCAGGAGCATGAATCATCCGGCATGGGTTAAATTGTTTATCTGTGTATGCTCTTGCCCGCCTGTGTCAGGACACTGCAAAAGAGAGGATCGGCGCGGCTTTGCCGAAATAGTCCTCAAAGGATACAACTTCCACTGTCAGAAAACGTCAAATGTAACAGCACTGTATACTTCATTCGGAGACGCAGGCTCCTGGAGAGGCGCGCCGGGACTGCTGGAAGGGCGGGTATCACCTTTCGACTGAAATTTGGCAGCAAAACCCGCCTCTCTTTCCTTCTCTCTCTCTCTCTCTCTCTCCCTCTCCCTCTCCCTCTCTCTCTCTCTCGCTCTCCCTCTCTCTCTCTCTCTCTCTCCCCCCTCCTGTGCCTCTCTCTCTGTGAGCCTCTTTCCGTTTCCATTCTCTCTGTTTCCATCTTCTCACAACCCTTGGGAGATAGGAGAAATTGAGGGACACAACCCTCGTAGGCCCTCGCAGGATCTTGTATGCCAGGTCTTGATTTGGACATCTCCTTCTCTATCTCTGAATCTGATCGGGAACACCTGCAGTTCGGGCAATTGTGGAACTGATGTGGAAGGCGGCGGCCCCTGGACCTGAGTACGCTCACAGTGTCACAGGTATTCCCTGCACTGCACTAAGAGTTTGACACATACAATGTCTTGCCGAGTTCTACATTTGTTCGTGGTGTCGTTTCAATCGTGTAAGCTGAAGACTTGCTGCATTTGGAGGAGTTGGAGTTGGTGCAAGATGTCAGCGTGGGATTGACGACCTGAGAAAACTGGCCGTGGAGTAGACGAGTGTCAACGTCATTTATATACATAAGCTTGGGTCCTGACCAAAGGCTTCAAAACTGCGACCGCGACTCAAGAGCGAGAGCCTGCAAAAACATGCACAACAAGGTACATAAATCGCAGGGTCCAAATATTGTTGCCTTTGGCCATTTGGGTCATAAATCTCGCTCATGGAAGAGTAGCCTGAAAGTCAACGTCCCAGCAGCGGAAAGGTTGCACAGCAGGGCACCAACATGCAAGAGAGTGCCCATCTAGCTAAAATTACACGGCTGATGATGCTCAATTCTCAACAGGGAGGTGCTAGTTACACTTCACCAATAATCTGACAGAAAGCTGCTCACTTCCTCAGAGTCGATTGCACCAGGCACATTCGCTCCGGAAAGACTTCCGACATTCACTGACAAAGCCTGGCAATTGCTTTAGTTTTAAATTGTTTCATTGCTACTAAAGAGCAAAATTTCCTTGCCAGTAGGTGCGGGGGCCTCTTTCTTCTTAGAATTCGCCTTGGAAGGGCCAGGTCAGATTCAAAAACATGGTGGCTAGTTGGAAGCCAATATCGATAGTGTTGACGTACGATTTCCATTCGAGGGTGGCATCTTCGAATGAATGCCAGCCGCCAACCAAAAGATTGTGGAACATTCTGGCAAACATAGCACGTCGGCATGAAAGACATCAACTAGAATAAAGACCAATGGCAAACGCAAACCACGTCCACGGGAACTATCCACCCAGTTACTCGATTCCCAAGCAAAGTTTTAGCCCCACAGCGGGCATCGTCTTCATGAAGAGCCTCTGGCAACGCACTTTTTTAAACAAAAGTGAAACGACCTCCCTGCACTGCCAAATCAATGCATGTCAAGTTTTCTTGTGCTGCCCAGTTTCCTGCACGCCTGTCATAAGCTCCTAGTCCAGCAAAAATTTAGATGAAGGCTGCTAAGGCTAGGGCAGCAAATGGTCAGTGCAGTGCAAACCATGTGGTGACGATGACGATGCCTCCCTGGCTCCTCATGTTTTTCCAAGATGCGCATGTGTAGTTCTCTGAGCTGCTCTTCCAAAAACGCACTGAAAGCCGCCATGGCTTGCCCTTCGAATTGATCCAGGTGTGCACCGCCAATTCTTGCACAATGATGACATCTTCTTTGGGACTCTGGCCTGGGCCTTTGTGTCTCGCCGCGCCGCTTCACAACGCTTCGGGTTTTTTCAACGTTGCCAATGCATGGAGATGCCCAACATGGCTAGCCAAAATGGCTTGATTTGTGCGGCGCGAGCAGGGTTGATGCCTTTGCATGTTTACACTATGGGGCCTCCTATCTGGGGTCCCGGGGTGGATGGGGCCCCAGAATAATTGTTTTTTATTCAGGGTGGTGGACCTACACCTGGCCAAAACTTATTCCATATGTTTACAGCATTTTACAGCCATGTCTGCCTTGCAGTCTGTAATTAAGTGATCTTACACGCGTTCCAAAACACAGGTTCAGTTTCACTACAGTGATCTTCTGCGTTTTGGTTCCTCCTCGTTTCCGGTCGCGTCAAGTGACCCAACACGCGGCAAAACGGCTGAACTTTTCAGATCAGCAACCCCCCACGTGACTTCTAGGACGGCTAGCCCACGCCAGAAGCCAGACCCAGAAACCAAACTTGGGAGTAGACACAGAGCAGGAACCGTCAGATCAGGGGTGCCAGGTCATAGGCGACCCAACCAAATCTTTGTTATCGACTCCGAAAACTGGTCTACACGAGAAAAGGGAGCTGTCAGATCTGTGGAACTGTGAAAAATGCCCAGTGCGCAGGGGTGATCACATCAAAGCTGCCCTAGACTTAAATCTTCCAGGACGGCGAGTTCACGCCACAAGCCAGACCCAGAAACCAAACTTGGGAACTGTCAGGTCAGGGCTCCTAGGTCATAGGCGCCCCAGCCACATCTTTCTTGTGGACTCTGAAGCTGTGATATGTGACCTGAAGCTGTAGATTGTGCAAGATATGTGCCCCAAAATGGCAAGATTGCCTCCTGTTGTAGGCCACTGTTCAGTAGACGGCCAACTGCTAAATTATTCCAAGGGTCTATCACGTCAAACAGGCTCTTGGAACCGAGACTGGCTAGAGTCATAGCCCCACGCGACCATTTCTTTAGCCCATCTACGACCCGCATGGCAGAAAATCGGAGCAGATCCCCTTTCCCGAGCTTGGATGAAGTGCAAGCCAACAACCAGCGACTCCTCCAAACCATGGACACACTCCAAGCATCAATGAAGCAGCAGCAGGAGACCCTGCACACACACCAAGGGCGAATCAATGAAATCGACCAACGCCCCGCTCACACGCAACACCAGCTTCAAAAAGAGCAGCAACTACAGGCCTCCAAGCAAGCCCTCGTCACCAGCTGGGCAGACAGTGCCACAGCGCACGACCGCCTTAAGGCCATCGAGGACTTACTTCGCAAAGAGGGCCTGACCTCTCGATATGCCAGCACTACTACCATGAAAGGCAAGACCGGCATCTCACCCTTTACCGTTGTCGAGTTCTTCACAAAAGAGGCACGGAACGAGTTCCTCGACATGATCAAGAAGGACATGCTCATCTGCCATGGCCAAATCACCGTGGGACGAGCTCAGACACCCAAATACCA